AAAAAAAAAAAAAAAAAAAAAAAAAAAAAAGGAAAATGGGAAAAAAGAAAAAAAAATAGAAAAAAGACGAGGTAAAATGCTGAAAGCTTCTTTATTCCTAACGGCGATTCGATCGATCCTCGTTTGCAACCGAGTCGAACCGAAGTGCACGTAATTGCGCTTCCGACACGGGGCTATCACACCAGATACTCGTACGCATAAAACACTAATGATACAATCGTGTTCGCAACGCTTCCGGCCACCATCGTGTACACTGGCTAGCGGGTAACACGCGAACGTTGTCGCACGCGATCGCCGAAAAGAGTCGGGGGAAGAACGTAGGAAGAGAGGAGCACCGGAGAGAGGGGAATAAAAGGTCGAATTTGAGACTCGTTTCCGGAACACGGAACCCGGTTCGATTCTTCGTCGATGTCGGAGGACAAGGAAAAACGAAGAAGAGGAGAGGATAGTTAGAAAAAGCGCTGAGAGGCAACGCGGAGAGGAGGAACGAGGGTTGGCGGAGCAGAGAGGGGTGGAAAACGCGCGAAACTGGAATAGAAATAAACCACCGGTCATATCCCATTTGATATTCAACCTCCGGCGTATCTGTCGTACTGCGCTTCCGTGTCTCCTATTCTTCTCGTTACAATGGAACTGCTGAACGTTACTCGTTGATTTAAATTTTCCGGTACATGGGCGTGCACAGCCGCGGCTGGATATCGCCCACCTCTGTCACCCCGTCGCCTGCCGGCCCCCCTCGGCCGCCGCCACTTTTCGTTCGACACAAAGCGCCCCGTCATTTTTGTCAGTCGAAGGAAAAACGAGGGGGAAAAAAGAGAGAGAGAAAAAAAAAATGAAAATAGAATAAAATAAAACGAGAATAAAAATAGAAGAGGTTCGCGGGAAGAAAGTGCTTCCTGAAACCAAGACCCTTCCGTTCCGACGAACTAACGATGGAATCAAATTTCGATATTTTTCATGCACCCCGACCCCCTCCCGTTTCCACAGTGGTTCACCGTTTTCTGCTTTGCCATTTTTCCTTTTTCCATCATCACCCCTGCGCCTTTGCCGCAACGACCGCTAATTGGACTTTAACCGAACTCCCCGATGTGCTTCCTTCTCTCCGATAGCGAGGAGATTGCATCCGTTTCGTCTTCCAGCAGCGTAGAATCTCGTGTTTCGTTTAATTTGTATCGAACCTATTCGAAAACGGGAAACAAGAAGAAGAATCGTAACGGGTGAAGGGGCAGAATTTACGCGACGATAAGCGCGATTTTAACGAAAGGAAAACGACTTTGCCTTAACGTCGCGCGTTTTTCCACGGTCAAACATAATCTCTCCGTCTAACAAACTTTCCCCGAGTTTGCTTGCAACTTTTCCGACCGAACGCAACAGTTCCCTCGCAATTTCCGTCCCTCTCGATCCGACAAATTTCTTTTTCGTAACGCCCGCGCAAACTTTCATTTCGCAATCGTATTTTTCCCCGGTAGAAGTTTCTTATTTCACCAACGGCCCGTACAACGAAACGTCGCACCTTTTCAACTTCACTCGGACTCTATACCGAGTCGATCCTCGTCCCGATCGTTTTCACTGTTTTCGCCGGAAAAATTCGCGAGTGCTCTCGCGAGAGGGAAAAGAATTTTCGCGAACAGTTATTACGACCAGCTATCGTTTCATCGTTATCGTCGTTATCCAGATATTTCGCGTTGTTCATTAACGCGGCGAATTAGTAATCCGTTGGAGATACTCGTTGGAACGAACGATCGGAGAGACTCGGGAAATTTGTTGAAATACAAGTTAGCGAAACGCGATCCCGACATTTTTATAACGCAGCGGCATTAGTCGGAGTTAAGCGTACGAGACGCCGGTGATGCGCAAAATGCCGGGGAATGTAATTCAAGAAACGAAACCTCGTTACATGGTCTGCGTTTCGCGGAACACGTACCGAGTCCGCGTCACTTTACCGGGGCAAAGGGACAACAGGGAAACGCGGAGAGGAAAAGGGTGGAAGCGTATTCGTGACACGGTGAAACTGGATGCCTCGCTTCAGCTGCATGGGAAGTTAACGGCTTAAAAATTCTGATTTAACCGCGGCACGCTGTTTTCTCGGGGAAATTACGTTGCAAGAATGAAAGTCTATCCTCTCGAACGGCGAAATATCTTTTAATTATACTCCTCGCTGGCTAGGATATTTCTCCCGGCTGTTAAACACCGCGAACGGAAGCGAGCGAAACCGCTGTGGGGAAAAAGAAGGGAGAAAGTTGGGAAAATATTTGGACACACCGTGGCGAATGTTTGTTTGCGTGAAAAAGCGAAAATCAAGGTTAAGTCTCGAATCCGGGTTGAGTTGGAAAGCACGCGAGAACGCGTTAGGTGCGAGTTGCGGCGTCTCTGGAAGGAACGGTGGTCGTAAATTCCGCAGAGAGACTTCTTTCTTTCGGAATGAAGTCGTTTGAGCTCTGGAAAGATATTCGCAGACGTTCCAACGCGTCATATCTCCGCGGTCGCAGCTCGAGTCCTAATTACAGGAAGTTAACTCGCTTCGACAATTGCCTCCGCGTGAAATCCCGATTAATCTCCGCGAGCCACGTCGACTGGTTCATTCGCAGAAATACGTGCCCCTGGCCGTCGACGTGGTCGACTCTTCCCCCCTCTCTCTCTCTCTCTCCCTCTCTATCCTACTCTCTCCAGCTCTCCGTCAGAGACGTCGAAGAATCGTGCTGACGTAACTGGAATATATCATAGCACGAGGAAGCGAGTATTATATCGGTGGCAGCAGGGACGAGAATGGTAGCCGCCACTGTCACGGAAACGGAGGCAGAGTCAAGAATTTAGTTTGGCGAAACGGAAGACACGGCCATAATGAGTTTCCTATTAGATTTGCTTGCCACCGTTGCCTGGTAACCGGCTCCGACTTTCGATCCCCGTTGCCCGGTCACGCAGGCAAATACCGTGCACTTTGCTGTTTCTTACCTCGCTTTTCCCTCCATTGGAAGTGAATTCTCGGCCGACGCGTTGCCCCGCGCGTGACCCCGCGACAGGTCGTCGAATCGTTGGAAATTCCGTGGCCGAGGAACCGACATGCAACGCAAATCCGAGTTGCAGCCTCCCCGTCCGCTGCGAATTAGCCCGAGACGGAAACGCTAATCCTCGAAGCGAAATTATTTCGCGAGCATTATGACGACGTTTCCGACGAGCGTTTTTCTCCGTTGCCGGACGCAGGCCGAGACAATGGGCAGAGTCCGAGGAACGGGTAATTAGTTTCGCTCCACTCTCTCCGACTGAGATACACAGTCGCCATGCTAATGACTACGCTCGTCTCATCGACGGGTCTTGCAGTCCGCGTTCCCGCGCCCCCTCGCCGTTGCGAACTTCTGCACGCACGTAATTAAGGGAGCGTTCGAAGCGCTAACGATCGGCTCGCCTCTGTGGTGCGCCGGCCGGGGCTGCTGAATTTCCAGAAACTGGGTGACAAAGTTTAACTCGCTGACGCTCGTCAAGGGATCGAGATTAATTCGACCAATCCCCTCCACGCCGGAGACGTTGTCTATCGGAATTTTCTTCGCCCGAGCTCGTTCCCTCGATGACGAGGGTGGTTTCTGGCCGATGTCTGGCGAAATTTCACCGCGACGCTCGATGGGCACGTCTGAAGGGTTCGACGGACACGGAGAGTACCGGGAATGGTTACTTAATCGCGGAGGAAATTCGGAGCTTCTGTTCTCCGACAGAATCGGGCCAATAGGGGCGAAATAATGGTAGTAACGGTAAATAACCGGTTACTAGGTGGTTCTCTCTGTAAATGATAGACGAGAGGAGAGAAAGAAGAGCAAGATCACTCACCTAAAATGCCGAGTCTGTAATTTATGGTGACGACGACGACACCCCCGTAGCTCGCCATCACGCTGCCGTCGTAGGGGTTGCCGCTGCTCCATTCATAGCTCTCGCCGTGCACGAACACGATCACCGGGTATCTCCTTCCTCCTCCGTCTCTCGCGCCAGCTGTAATCAATAAAATTATCCGCTGATCGATCGGCACCGCTGACACTTGATAGTTCGCGTCGCGCATCCTTAAAGATCCATTTTTCAAACGCGCCGCTCTATAAACTTTTGACGCCGCTGTAAAGTATTATCGGCAAGTTTCTCCGGACGATCCATCGGTGTACCCTCTGCCATCGAGTGGTCGGCCCATCTCGATAACGAGTTATCGAAAGTTTAAGCACGCCGGGGTTAATTAGAAACATACCGATGACGGGGAGGAGTAGAAAATTGCACGAGCCCCGGGACCGCAACTCGTGTGCCGGCTAAATGAAAATGTTTCCCGGGCAAAATCGAACGCCCCGTTACGAGTATTACGAGTATCTTTGCGCGAGGCAAAAACGGCCGCATTAGCTCGGTCGTTTCGATCTAACGGCCTGCCCGTGGAAAATATTAAAGATCCGGCAGCGTGCGCTCGATGAACTCTCGTTAGAGTGCACGTAAGTAGCTAAATTGCGCAACGCGTTATTTACCGCGCTGCAGCGTCGAGAAAATGGAAACGAGCGCGTGATCGTGGGCGCTAAGGTTGGAAAAAGGAGAGAAAAATGCGGATAAAAATGTCCGCGAGATGACATTAGCTCGATGCAGGACGTTTGGTCGGCAAAGGATAGAATCCTTGGATAGGAGTAAGTGGAAACGGCTACGTGTTGGAGGACGTATCGCACACGAGGTAATTAAAACGAGGGTCCACGAACGCGAGCCGAGTACGTCAATCGGATTTAGTATGCTAATACAGGGCTGGAACACACGTGAGCATGATCGCTGTGGCGGACAATAGCCTCGGTCATAATTCAACAAATCACGCGTTACCACACGCACGTCCCTGCGCGAGCAATAGTGTTCAAACGGCACGATTCGATTTCCCTTCGTGCGGTTTTTCACGCAGAAATTGCCCGGCGCGAGGGGAAATGGAATCCGATATGCGTTGAAATCCGCGGGGCGGTCAAGGCCCGTGTTTCGTTTTTAACATCGGCAAAGTGTCACGCGCGGAGGAATTTGCGGAAGGAAGACGGTGTGTCGTCTGTGTCAGGGCGAGCTATAAACTCGACTTTTGCCCGAGACTCGGCGCCAATGAAATTGCAACCGTGGAAACAGAGTAGATTAAATATTTAATTCCGCGCTCCCTCCTCGGGTTGTCTCTCCTCTTTATTAACGGGCTCGATGCCATTGAAAGGAACCGGCTGCAAAGGGGACAATTCGATTCGTTCCTTTGCCAGGCTCGATAAAAAGGAGATCGCTGTCTGCTAAACAACACGAGCCCGCCATATTCTTGACTTCCGTCTTTTCATCGGTTCTCCGATTCTCCGCGCTCGAGCAAACTTGCCCTACGAGTGGATAAGCGATTCGGATAAATTCCTTTTTCCCTGTCGTCTCCGCCAAGCGTTTTGTTCCCCGCTGACAAAAGGTAAACGACGGCGACGGTATGGTCAGGAATTAGTGGAAACAGGTTCAATTATACTTCCGCTCGTTAAACAAAGCGGCGTTAACGAAGAGGGGAAACAATGTCCGGCGATGAATCGCGCGAAAGTACAATCGGTTCGTAATAAAATGGTATTGTCGGGGACGGGAAGACGATTACCGGATGCGCGACAATAAGGGCTCGCACAAAGGCAATAAGTCCGAAGGGATGGCAAGGATGAAGATAGAGAAACATCGCGGAGGTTAATTTCATCGGAAGGAGAATCCTCGTGAAATACAAGCCCTCGCGATAACTCGACTTTCGTATCTGTAATTGTCCGTTTTTCGATACTCCGTTTCTTATAAAGTCCCACTTAGATTCCACTTTTACCCTTCTCGCTCCCACGTCTTCCTTGCAACGCTATATTTCCATCTGATTGCTTCGCCCGTTACTCGAGCTCTCTTCTTTGATCTCCCTTCGCCTATCTTATCCCCTTAAAACCCCCCCGTCGGTTCCCCCTTTATTCCGCAGTCGTGTTTCACCGACTAACGCCGCCACCGTTGGACCACCGGGGCCTCTGAAATATTTGCCGGAACGAACCGCCTTGCTTTCCCGCAGATACGTCCTCGGCCCAATTTTTATCCGACGGTTTATTAAGCCCTGCTTTTTGCGCCCGTTACTCCGTGCCGCGCCACATCGCCGAGGGAAAACTTTTCCTTCTCGCCACGCGTTTTCTTCCCGTCGAGCGATTTAACCCGAGCCAAGAGGCGGATAGAAATTCATTCTCCGCCTGCGTCTCCCGTCCCGCCTCTTTTTAAACGCTGTGCACGACAAGCTGTCGCTAACCGATCTCTGCAACCCTCGATCAACGCCAATCCACCGACCCCCTCCGTCTCGACGAAAAGGCGGAGGCCGCCGTGGAGGAAGATTATCGAGAGCACGAGGACCAAGCGTTACCGAGGATGGATTTAATCGTTGCGAGCAAATTTGCTCGATCGAAATTTTTGGCGGGCTAGCATGGCCGATCACGGATGATGCATTCGCTGTTCCATCGCGTGTCAAGCGGCGTTAAGGCGCGGCCGGGACATTCGATTTTATCGGACGCGCGCGATACATTATTTCAGCCGGTGAATAAATTTGCCAGAGCACTGTCAATATTTGATACGATGTGCAAACAGTTTCGCGTGCCGGCAACGCCTCTAACGTACTTTACATATTCATAAAGCCGTGCGTTCCAATGTTTCAACCGGGGCTTGCCGAACGCGGGGTGTTACCAGTCGTAACGATCATCCCCCGAATCGCTTTATTCCCGAGACTGCGAACATCGTAGACGTATTTAATTTTAATCGGCGACGAGCGACGCGGAACGGATTATCGCAGCGTCGACAGGTGTTGGGAGACAAAAGGACGATTTCAGCGGGCACAAAGGAAAGCTTTTTCTGTCCGTTGCGTCTCTCGGTCTCGCGAGGTTCAGTCGAGATCGTGTTTCCCGATAAGTACTGCAACGTATCTCTAAAAAGATTTTCTTAAGAGGACCGGTGCTCTGGCGTAAGGAAGGAGGCGGATGGAAGAGATACGATCGAGCCCGAAGCTAGCAGAGCGAACTCAATTTCTAAATGCAATGTCGTCGCTTCAGCATCGCGCGGGACTCCTGCGCTCGGGCAACCTGTCGCGAAACAGATTACGCTTGTTCGATAACTCATCGCGATAATGTTTCAACGTTTCCGTGTCCCATGGAAGAAAGAAGACACGGGGACGGATATAAACGTGAAAATCGAATCGCCGATTTTCCATGCAGACAAGCTTATTTTTCGCGATGGGACGCCGGAATCTGCGATAGCGACGACTCTCGGCGTGTTCTCGTGGCTTTAGAACTCTCCGGGTCATTCCGGCCCCCAATTTAGGGAAAGTTAGAGCAGATAAGGGAAGTTTCGCATGGAGACGAGAGCGAAACTTTTATAACTTCCGAATTGAATTCTATAAATCCGTAAATCGTCGTCCCGCGGAAGTGGATTCGTCGCGGCGGTAATCGTTTCGCGATTTATATCCGTCGTGTCGGACGCGAATCCCGTATCCCCTTTCTCGAATAAAGAAAATAGCTTCCTCCGCTGCCGCGTTATGGAAAGATTCGCTCGCGTATCTCCGTGGAAGATCGACGTTCCGCGTTT